CCACTCGCCCTCGCCCTCGCCCGCTGCGGTCCGTGACTAAGGGTCGACGTTTCACCTGCGCTCGCAGGCGCCTCGTGACGGGGGCTGTACGCTTCCCTTTCCCTGCCGTGCTTGGGGAACTCCAGCCGGCCCCAGGGACGGGCAGCGAAAGGCCCACGGAAGCACAGTGAAGCTATAGGAACCGAAAGCCGTGGCAGAGGTGATCTCGTTTATTAGATCAACTAGATATTTGCAACAAAAAAAAAAGTGTCTGTATTTGCAAGGTTTCGGGCACCGGCAGCGTGCATCAGGCGTAGGGGATTGCAGTGATTGTAAAAGGTCCTAGGTAGAAATTAAAATTCATATTGAAGGCTATGAGGTTGGCTAAGAAAAGACGGTGCTTAGAGGTTACTCGTTCACTTATTGCCACGCTTAACTTATTTTGTCGTGAGTGTGGTAGTACGTATTTTCCCTGCAGTGTAAAAAACACCTTACAGGGTGCGTCTACCTGTGAAATGAACGTGTGGCAATAAACTGGTGCATCTTGTGCAGGAGTTTATTGCTCCTGGGCACCGTGTTTACATGTACACCCTAGGAGTGCAGCACGTTGAGCTGGCTCAGAGCAGGCCCAGGGGTCAGCCTGCCAGCCTGGGGCCATTGGCGACACGTAGGGAAGGGCATGGGGGGACATGTGCCCCCCCTCAGATTGACCCCTGGAAATGGGGGCACTGGGAGAAGCACTGTCGTGCCCTCCCCTTGCACTGACAGAAGCGCCGGCAGCAAAACGGGAAGTGCCACTGGCACTTCTGGTTTCACCGCTGCCCGCCACAGTCAGCGACCAGCAGCTGGTGCTCCCCCAGAATCAGGAGGCACCAGTTGCCTGTGCCTGGAGCTGCTCTGACCCAGCTCGATGTGCTGTGGAGGGGCTGGCTGGGGCGATAGGGTGTTCCAGTGCAGGGGTAGCCAGCAGGCAGCCCCCTTGCTAATGTACCCCCATGCCCCACCCGGCTCCATCAATGTCTATATGCGTGTTGCGGCATGAAGGACACGTGCCTCCGGAGGCTGGGGGAGCACGGCAACTGCCCGCAGGCAGCAGCAGCAGTGTTGGTGGTGGAGGCATGGCGGCAGCGAGCGGGGAGCTCCCACAGGCAGCCGTGGCAGTATTGGCAGTGAGGAGGTTGGCAAGTGCCAACGGGCAGTCAGCGACCACCCACAAATGCGGTGGCAACGGCCAGCGGTGATCAGCAACCACCTGCAGACTCCACAGGTGCTGCCGGCAGCATCGGCGGTGCTTCTTTCGGGGGGTACATCACCAATCTCAGGGGGTGCACGTGCACTTACGTGCACTCCCTCTAAGCATCGCCAGTGTCTTGCAGTGCACTAAATAACGCCACCGTAGAATTATACTTGTGTTTACAAGTACTGACCTCTCGTGGAGTTAATTTTCCTATGGCCTAATAGGGCTACATGTATAGACACTGAGGGCATTTACACAGGTGCTCCAGGAGTTGGGGGGGGGGGGGGGGGGGGAGGGGGAGAGGGACTTTAATTAGATCGCCCGGAGCATGTGTCCCCATGCTGAAAAATGGCAGTAGGGATGCTAAAGCTTGTGGGTAATTCCCATGCTTCAGCAGACTCAATCGAGTGTGCTCCAATGCACTGTAATTGCTGTGCATCAGAGCAGCCTCACTGCTCATGTATAGGCGCCCTGAGACTTCACTACAGAGCTAATTAGGCAACTCCGCAGTAAATGTCTCATGTAAATGTGTCCACAGGGGTGAAATATCGGCTTACTTGCAGATACTCCTTGCTTAATGTCACAGTTATATTCTTGAAAAACGCGACTTTAAGCGAAACGATGTTAAGCGAATCCAGTTATGTCACAATAGTTACCTATTAGCAGGCGGTGGCCAAACAACATTATAACTGAACATTGCGCGACTTTAAACAAGCATGTTCTCTAATAGATCAGCGACATAATAATGAAACAACGTTAACCGGAACAGCATTAAGTGAGGAGTACCTGTACATGCATGTACGCTCCAGTTGAAGAATTAGGCTTAAATGTTTAGTTCATTAATAGCCAGCATCGTTAATCATAAATGAATGATTTATGTAGTTCAATTTCCCTTGGGGGGGGTGGGTACCCTGATTGTACTGTAAGACTCTACAACATATTTGTGTTTCTCACCTTCCAGAATTCATAACCAGTTTCTAAAGCAAGGCAAGTTATGATGGTATAATTTATAATGCAAAGTTTGGCTCTTAACAAATGATGGGTTGTATAATGTGCACCTATTCTACCATTGCCCAAGGAAAAGAATTCTAGCTTGTTGTCAGATGTATGTTTCCTGACCCTAAAGTTTCATTTTAAGATGTAAAATGTTCTAGTATAAAAGGCACATGAGATAGCTGGTTGCTTTTCTGATACACAGCGGGCACGTTTACACGAGATGCTTTACTGCACAGTAGAACTAATTACTGGCAGTAAGCAGCTGTGTCTGCATGTGCAGAAAGGCTCCTCCCCCCCCCCCTCCATTTTATTTATAAATATAGCAGTTCACCATAAGAAAATTATAATGCACGTTTCACTAGGCAAGTTAAACAGAGATTCAGCAGATACATAACCCTGTACCATTTTGTCCTTTAGATAGTGTAGAGCCTGTTAGTGGATATATTTTAAAAAGTATAATACCAGAGCTGGCTGAAGAATGATCACTCTATTTTGCAACAACTATTTAGATTTTAATTTTTTTTTTATTTCTACATTGGAATGAGAACAATACCTTTCAACAGCATTTTGACATAATTATCTTTTGTGCAAAAGAACAGATCTTCAGTTCAGCTTTCTCTCCCTGGCTGTTGCAAGAGATTCCATTTGGGCGCTCAGTAGCTTTTTTGATGCAAGTGAAATTGAAATTGATGCATCCTTTCAAAACGTTTCCACCTCCCTATTTCTCACCGGAATAAAATATAGTTAAAAATGTTTTCAACTCTAATAAATAGAATGGTAATTCTTTATGAAACTGTCAGCACTGCTTAGTATTTTCTTTCTATACTTTAAAACCTAGAGCATACAGCAATTTAAATATAAAAAAATATATAAAAATATGCATCAATATAAGGCTTTGGATATCTATGCAGTTAAACTCAGGAACTTACGTCAAAAACTAGTGTAAATATTTCCCTGAAAAACTAGTGTAGAATTGTGATGTCCACAGCACAAGTTAAATTGTCATTGTTTGCTTTGGTGTGTTGCATACTTTATAGCTATGGAAGGCACAGAGCGTATTATATAATACACTATGATCAATCTAGAAGAATTTCACCTTTCAGTAATTCCAAAGGAAGAATAACATATAAAAGCCAATCCTACATTCCTTACTAGAAGAAAATTCCTGCTAAAGTTGAGAAGATATATGATTAAATCCACACTCAGTCCACATCAAATAAGTCAAATGCTGTTTGCTACAGTAGCAGTAACTTGAGAAATACAATTCTGGTGATCCTTCATGTAGGTTATAAAGTTATTTTCCCCTTTGGTTAGAGTGGAGATCACTAGTGGAGAAGCTGATGCTAAAATAGATACTATTGGCACTTGTTATAATACTTAGCTTTTTCCTCTTCAAAGGATTATAAATGCTGAACCTCATTCTGCAGTTCATAGCTAATTCACACTGGAAGCGGGTACTTTCCTGGCAAGATAATGTCCATTAAAAATCTTTTTAGCTAACCGACCCCACCAGAAGCTTATAAATCCAAATTCAAGTATCACATGAAAAATTAAATAGGTTTTAAATTAAATATTAAATTGCACTATAATGCAAAACTTATAACAAAAGCAAAAGTATGAAACAAATTACATTAACAGCCATCATAGCACTTTACAACAATGAGTTAACACTCAAAATACCCCAGGAGGTAGCCTTTCAGGCAATAAAACAGACACAGAAAGATTTATACAGGACTGAGGCTTCAGAGACAATTGTATAGTTGCAGAGTTTACAGAAAACTCTTTTCAGGCCAGTGTAATTTGAGATTAAGTCATATGGAGTTTAGCAGAGGCTTAATTTAAAAAAAGGATGGATCCATTTTCCAAGATATGAAACACAGTCGCATAAAATTAGGTACACTGGGTTTCTTTGTTTTGAAAAACAAAACCAGTTTCCTTTTCTTTTAAAGTCTTAACTTCTTTTTTTTTTAGATGCAACTGGCAGTACAGAGTACTGTCAACTACCAAATGATCAATTCTTACCTCAGAGATTCCAGGATCCTAATTTTTAATACAAGAAATACAGTACATACAGATGGACTTGCAAGGTTCAGTGACAAGAGTCTGGATCCAGTTTAAACAATTTAGCTTCCCAGCACCGTCACGGGAGAAGAAAGAGGCCGTTGCTAATTTACAGAGGTCCTAGTACATTTTGCTTTAATCTACACTGTAGCTGCCATTTTCTTGGAATAATCTCATATGTGATCACATTCTTTTTCTCCGAAGAGGGCTAAGGTATCTGAAGTGTGCAGTTTGGCTTTTCTCATCTTGCTAATAGAAAAATGTTCTTAATTTCTTCTTTAGAGATGGCCATTGCAGATAATTTTATCAAGTTTAAGATTCAAAGAGTTCAGAGCTGTTTAATTTGTCGTCTTCATATAGTAAAATATTTTCCATAAGCTTCTTTTTCTGATCATTGATCCTTATTTCCCAAGAGGTTTCTTTGGTTAATGCTGAAACACAAAACCCCCCAGACATTTAGCAAAATTTCCACTTATGGCTAACATGTCAACATTACAAGAAACTTAGGTAATGTGTGGGTGGTGATGGAATAACAATTCAGATAGCTTATCTCTGGCCTCATAAGAAAGAATTAGATCAGAAAACTTTGGTGAAATTAATAGACTAACTGTTAACATCAGAACCAAGGAGACAAAATTTGATGAAAGGTCTTTGAAAACTCTGTCTGTGCAGGCATTTATACTGTGCCCATCACTGTAGTACTTGAGCACCTTACATAAATATTGTGGTCACTGTACCAGGAATGAGGGACTTCTATTGCAAGAATTTAAAGATACTGAACCCTTTTAAGTCCCATCCCTAGAATTAGCTACATTTACCTTGTGAAGAACATGAAGGATCGGGGTTTGTATTTCTGTTTGCAAGAGACGCCATTTCCAAGCGGTTCTGACTTTCGTGGCATACTGCATTTCTCTTTTGGAAGCTTTCAGCACATACTTCATCATTTTTCCTGGATTCAGAGGGCATGGCATTTTCTGGATGGGTGCAGCCAGTAGCAGATGGGCCACAGGCAGAACCTTCCATAGGATCCCAAACAAAACTACCTGATTCGTCTGATTCGCAAGGGACCCTTGTCATATGTCCATTGTAAACTTCAGGAGGCCTAATTCTTATTAAAGGTGGGGATGAATTTGCACAGTTCAGGGACCTTGGTCTTGCACTGTCCTCACTGTTGTCACTTGAGCCATTGAGGCTGAGGCAGGCTGTCTCATCATCAGTTTCTTCTGGAGTATTAATGGAGAATCCAGAAAAAGCGCTGTCTTCAAGTAAGCTGTGATCTCTTGATTTATGTTCAATCATTTCCATGATTCCAAGCACCTGTTTGTGACAACAATATCTGTTAATCAATTCCCTTTTCAGAACATTAAGAAGAACCCCTCAACAATAAATAAAACATATTTAGGTGCTGTGACCTTTTGGTATCTAGGTGAGAACTCCTAGCAGTGCCCTCGGTATTTACCTCTGTGATGTTGGAATTCTTTTTCCGCAAACAAAGACAGAGGGCAGTGGCAAAAGAAACGGCAATTTCTTCTGGCACATGCCCTGCTTTCCCATCTCGATATTTAGAGCATATTTCCTTGGCGGCTAGCTTTTCAAATGCTCTGTCTTTGGAGTGTAACTGTTCCTTTGCTAGTTGAATTTCCTCAGCAATTATGTCTTTCTGTTCAAGGGAAAGAGACATGCCAACAATAACAGGTTTGTCAAAGAACATTATTAATTTCCGTCCAAGCCACTACATTTTAAGAAACTCCCCTATGCATGGTGTAATATGTAGGCTAGCAAATGTATGCTATTGCTCTCCCTGCTGTTTATGGATGGATTGCAGAAGATAATGGAAGTTCTCTTTTAGCACAGGTGGTAGAAATCTCTGCTTTCAGATCAGGAAGTCCAACAGAGCATCTTGGAGGAGGGCTGTAGATGTGAAGCCACCTATTTATTACCTGAGGCCCTAGATAGTGTAAGTAGGCCTCTTTGTATTAACAGCATATTGATAGTTGTCTTTTAAGAACTTTTCTGATGCTGTATATGGCAGCCTTCTGATCTCATTTCAAACATTTATGAAAGGACCAGGAATTTTTCTCCTCCCTTTTCCTCATCTTAATTTTCCACATGATAATTACTGTGATGCATTTGGCAAGGACAGAATGATAAGGCTCAATTCCTCTTCTCTTCCCTAAAGGTTTCAGGAGCATGGCAGAACAAAAGGAGAATGCCACACAGATAGATGGATAAAGGTAGGGTCTGCTCTATTCATTCATTAAGATACATTTTATCTTACTATTCAGCCTGTCACAAGTGCGTGACTTCAGGCCAAATATCAGGGTTTACTAAAGGAATTTGCACAGTTCCAGTTTCAGGTTGTGACCAGTTCCTGTGTTTAACATATTGCAGTACTATATAGTCTGACCTGTTTGCTCTCATTGAAATCAGTTAGAGTATTGCTACTGATTTTAGTGGGCACAGGACACCAGCTCAATGGGAGCTATAAATATAACTGTTTGCAACAAACTGTTGATTTGGTTTTAACTTCAATTCATTTTATTACAATAGCACTAAGTGTAATAGTAATATTAGGCAAGTGTTTTTTATTTCTGCCTTTCCCTTACCAGGTATATGGGGTGTCTTCCTTCATCTGTTGTCCGAAGACCAGTCAGAATTTCTGCCAAAATCTAGAAAGAACATATTTTAGCTAAAATTGCTTGTGCAGAATGTATTTGAAAAGAATAAAGACTTTGTAGCCAAAGGAATATTTAACTACTACTGCATTTTTTTGGCTATTTCTCCTGCATTCTTAAAAGAGATGGGCACATACCAAAACTCAGATCTGAGCAAAAATCATGACATCCAAATGGGACTCGTGTATGCAACTCAGGACAGAATGTGATGTTCTTGCTCTGGATACCATGTGAAATGTTATGACTGTCTTATGTTTCAAAAACTTAATCAGATAAGTAAGAAATGACTATGAGCACAGATATAACCAGGTGTCTGTAAAATCTAATAGGAAAGGAAAAAAGGCAACCTACTATTCCACATCCAAATATGTCAATTTTTTCTGTTAGCCGTCCATGCCTGACGAAATCTTCTGGCAGGTAAGCAAGGGAAGCTTGCAAGACTTTGGTTTTCATCACAGCATACTCTGATTTTTTATCCACAGGATACAGTCGGAGACCTGAATGTCCAAGCTTTGCGGTAAAGTTTTCATCCAACAAAACATTGGAGCTGTGTAAGGTAAGAAAAATACCAGTGCTGGTTAGTCAGTCCTTACCTGAATGTTGTTATATATGATTTTAGAGGTGACATCTAAGAGCTCATTCCACAAACTGTCTTTTAGCTTCTCAGCACATGTGTGTTGAAAGATGTGACAAATTAAGATGATAAATAAAATTTCCATACATACAACATAATTTTATATCAGAATATGCTTCTTTTTTTTTTTTTTAAGCAAGCCACACAGTACCGCTGGTTTTTTCCTCAGCCTAATCTAATTTGACATTAGCTGGCCATGTACATTCATTTTTATTTGCAGTGCATAGCTGGTCATATTCAAAGCCCATTCAACACCAGAGAGCTAACACCAGGGATGAAACCAAGCTATTTGGTTTAGGGTTGAAAAACAGCTGTGTGAATCTCAAGAAACTCTGTGGCTGAAGACTTCTGAACATATGCTAATTTTCTGAAGTTCTCTGAAAAGCTTGTAGCAAAAGCTGACAAGGTAAAATCCTAAGGTCCTTCCTCAGGCTTTACTCAGTCAACCAAATCTCTGTGTCTTCAACTGGCTCTACTTGAGGCAAAGTGATTCAAGCAAAACTCTCAAAATTGAGTTTTGCTTGAATCAGAGCTGAGTAAGGAACTCTTGAGACAGCTCTTGGCATTAAAACAAAACAAACATGATATCCCAACATTTCTGTATCTTCAAATTTTTCTGCCATTACGTGGTGCCAGAATGTGCTCTTTCCACAAGTGTGGTAATACAAAAAGTATTAAGCCTGACAGAAAGACATGTTCTTGATGATTACTTGAGATAGACTATACAGTACTTACAGGCTACTGACTAATGCATATTCAGATACGTGGAAGGCTGCATGCTGCAGAGCACATGCAAATGGACATTTTGGTCTTAAACGTCTTTTTTTATTCTTAAATTCTGAGTTTCCATGAAAGAAAAACATTGAACAGTGGGGGCTGGGCTGGGCTAGGCCATGCAGCACACAGTGTGCAGACTCTTCCCCCTGCCGCCCAGCATCCATTCCACCTGCACTGCCCCCCCCGGCTTCCTGCTGATGCTGCAGCTGTGCAGTCCTTGCACCACGGCCACTGTCAGATGTGCCTGCACAGGATGGGGCGTGATGCAGCATGCTCAGTAAATGTCCCGCCCACCCACTGCAATTAGCTGCTGCCGCCTCAGAGCCACTAGGAGATGAGTCCATGCCAGCCACGGGGGTGCTCAGCCTGGGGCAGCCACCCCTGACTTTCCTGGTGTGGCACGGAAGCAGTGGCTCATTGCAGCAGGTGAGCATGCAGGCAGGATGGGTGCTTGGCATGTTGCATTACACCCTGTCCTGTGCGGGCCTGGTTGCCAGCAGCTGTGATGTCAGGACTGCACAGTGCCATCAGGAAGCTGTGTAGAGTGGGGGATGGAGGGGGTCTCTGCACTGCACAGCCTGGCTTGGCCCCAGCTGTGGCAGAGCAGATTGGTGGGCGCAGCTTTCCTTCCTCAGCTCACCAAAACTCATCAAGTGGCCTCCAATCCAAATAATTGCCCTGTACTAGTATGATCTGATTTAAGCACAAATTTTGTCCAACAGTGTTGGTTATAAGGGCATGTTATATATAAATATCTTTGTAAATAAAATAGTTAACTAAGTGTAACTGTTGTTGACTCATAATTATACCAGTAACTGATCTAGAACAGCATACTTGCCTTCTTATTTGCGAACAGCTATTTCAGTATATGTCCCTTTTATATAGCAAAAACTACATCTACACTAGAGGGTTATACCATTTTAACTAAACTGGTAGAGGTAAAGCTTTACTAGTTAGGCAAATCTTAAACTTTTTAAGGAACAGGCAACTCCCTAGCACTGACTTGATGTGGAGAATATCTGAAATTTCCTATGCGGAAAATGGGAGGGATTATACTGAAAAAAAGGTGCTTAGGATATATATACTTCCACCATACTGAAAAGAGACGTGAAAAGTGAAGTGGAAGCCATGCAAAAAGAGTAAGAGGTAGAAAGAAAAAAAAAGATATGCATTGGAAACAAGTCAAAGAACATATACAGGTTGGAAGACTTTTTGACATTTCTGCTTCACAAAATCCTAGGAATGACAGGATAATGATGGAGCACTGTAGGATGTGTTGGGAAGCCAGCTCCCTCACCTCTTGACATTCCCGTGGAGAATCCCAAAGTTGTGTAGATACTGAATGGCCCGGATAACTCCTATGGCAATGCTGATGCGTTTCTCCCAAGTTAATGGCATGGAACCACCCTGCAACAGAATGAGGAAGAGGAGGATTGGTATTTTGCTCCTTATGGAATGAAAACGTAATATATCATTTAGTAGTTTCGCAATCAAGAGGTCTGTTCTTCCTCCTACAGCAGTCAGTTACAACCTCTTCCCCCCTGCTAAATGGAAATAGATGGCAGTAATCACATTTCATGCACCAGGGCCAAAGCAAGGATCAGGAAGGAATCCTATTATCTCAGTATACAGCATTGCACAATTAGTTTGGAAACTTACACAGTGAGGGGAAAGGCAGAGTAAACAGTTCTCTGATGCATTAGGTACTGGCTACTGCTGGGGCAGGATACAAGACCTGAACTACCGCTCTGATGTGATATAGCAAACCAGGGGCTGCCTATACACATGCTCAGAGGTGGAGGGGGACCATTTTAATTAGAGTGATTCCCAGATAGTGGCTGTAATTAAAACAACTCACTATCATGTTTATTAACATAGGTACATGTTTGAAAATGGCCATGGGACGCTTTGTCTAAAGCTCATTCAACAAGCTTCAGATAATGCGCTCCTGCGGCCATTTTCAAATGTGTGGGGCTTAATACATGTGATGGTGAAGTGACGCAGGAGCATTCTAATTAGAACGTGAATGAACACATCTACAGGCACCCTTATATTCCTGATGAATAGTACTTAAGTGGAGTTTTGGTTTTCCACTGCCCTGCAGTTTCAGCTGCCCAATGCTCTAACGATGAACAGGAACGAACACAGCAGTAAATGTTATGCCTTATTTGAGTGCAGGGCTTTGACAGAATTGACCAGTATAACATTCTCTATAGCAATGTATTCCCAAATCCAATTAATATTGTGCCGTATATGTACACATTTCACTGTTGCAAGGCAGACGTGCCCTCTACTGCTGATCTTGTGGCAGAAAACAGTCTCTTGTACAAAAAGATATGCGGCCTTTCCAGTGTTTGACTGATGCATATTCAGACACCTTTTTCCTGTTGCTCACAATGTGCAGGGGTTGAGAAGGGGAAGAAAGAAGAGAAATTGCTTTTCTGGTGAAAAGGAGAAAAAAAGAAGTTCTCCCTAACAAATTTCTGACAAGCACATAGAAAGAAAATGGGAAGACAGATATTGCTTAAATTGCAGGGACCTGGTGCAAAACCCAGTGAACACCATACAAGAGGTCAAGGAGATTCAATTGTTTTTCAAACAATACTTTAATAGGACTCATCGTCAAAGACAGCAGAAGTACCCGGCTCCACTGCTTACTTGGCACTGTAATCTGTTTTCCAGTGATCCATTAGGCAGGTATGGATATATCAGACAGTGGAATCCAGTTTCTACTGAGAACCCCAGGAGCTGTAAAATATTAATGTGACAACACCTGCAGGCAAAAGTCAACAAATATTAGTGAGTGAAATAGCAACAGACAAAAACAATTTAAAATTCCAGCACTGAATCAAGTCTTAACTGAGAATATAGGGTTAGGCTGGGTCTTGGATTTGGATGCACAGAAGCAAAGCCAAACTATGCCTCTTGCATGGCTCCAAACATGAGGACTGTAGGCAGGCAGAGCTGCAAGAAGGAGGGCTTATAGTGCCATTCCCTTACAAAGTAGCTGGAAGGGATCGTTAATGGCAGAAAGGATCCCTCTGCCCTTATAAAGAATGGCACATGGGCTACAGTTGCTCAGCAGGGAAGTAAATTTGGGAAGCAGCTGCTTCCCAGAATTCCTGTGGGACAGTTCAGGTCCTTGTTGCCCTCAATACAGTGCCGTGCCTATATAAGGCAAAATTTAGTCCTCAACACAATCAGCCTTTAGTGTTTAGAAGAACGGATAACTCAGGCAATGACTGTCATCAGAACCAGCTTCCAAAGAGCTGCTTACCGAAAAGAAATCTGTACTTCTGTATGAAAGAATCTTTGGGTTGAATTTGGACTTGTACATTCCATCTGCAAAGAGAGACATAAGTGCAGTATAATATTAATAATCAACAATATTAATAATCAACAAGATAAGTCTTTTCTAAATTCCATCTCTTCATCTCAAATGGCTTTACAAAGGAGGCAGAAGGCAGGGTAGATATGCATCTCATAGACTAACTAAATCAGAGATACATAGCACAAGCTTTTGTAAGCAGCAGCTTAATTCATCAGGCATTTTACAGAGAAGGCTAACATCATTCATATCAACTGCCTGTCCCACAAAATGGCTTAATTTTAAAATAGAATCAACTGTTTTTTGGGCATAAAATAAATAATTAACAGTTTAATTGTACCAACATTTATACATGCAGGAATCTTTACTCGCACAAACAGGACCATATTAATGGGGCTAATTATTTTTTCACACATGTTTCCAGACTGCAGCATTTTCTTTCCTAGAAATACTACAGTGTGGTATGTCTGATTTCTAGCTTAATGTTATTAAATGGTAACCACTGATGCTTAAGGAACATTAACAAATGATTCCTCTTCAAACTCGGAGGAAGAAAAGCTAGGGCACTTACCTCTTTAAGCCTTTTAATGACGTATACTGCATTGTCTCTCTGACCTTTGTAGACATCAGCAAAAATGCCTTCATTAATTCTGTTTTCTTTCCAGAAACCCTGGGTAGCATTTATCACCTCCCCTGAAGTCCACAAAAGGCTTTCACTGGGGAGATCAACATTTGTTTCCTGCT